AAAGACAAGTGTAACAATTTTTTTAATATCAAGGGAAAATCATGCAAAAACACACACAAACATATTTTGAAAATTAATGTTTCAAATTTCAAATCTTGTCTATTTGATATCATTGATCTCCTGTATAGATTTAAAACACTGAATACATATGCACTCAGACCAACTTATCATTGCTCGTAAAATTCATATAATGTCCTTAAAGCCCGTAAAATACCAGAATTTATAAGCGACAATACTTTTGTTAAAACTGCAATGACTGAATATGACAAATCGAGAATGTCTTGGGTTAACGCAGGCGATGATTATTTTAAGAAAATTCAAGTGATTAATTTTGCAACAAATATGCGGACAATCTTTGCTAAATCTAATCAAATACGCGCAGCATATAAATTATCAATCAAAATTCTTGCATTTAGTAACATATGTTGTTTTTTGTACGGAATGATAAAAATAACTATTAGAATGAAATGAAGTTAAGTATATTTGAAAAGAATGATAATTGTAAATTTATTTTTACAACAAAAGAAAAACACTTTATGACACAAGCATGTCATAGGTTATTTATAAATAAATTCTCCATATTAGTATATAAATTTTTATGCAGACCTAACCGGATTAGCACCAAAATATGGATTTTGTTTATTTAGAATTAGAATCCCAGCATTGCTTTTTTATAACGTTTTTGTCGCAGACGATATTTTAATTATATCTAAAGCTTGTTGTCACTATCTTATGGTTGTTTATTTCTGCCAACAGTTAAACAATTATTTATAACGATAATTGTATGACTAACGAGTTAGTCTTCGTAAGTATAAGATGAATACCATATATTTATCTAATTAACTAAAACTCTTTTCTGTGAAATAGTTAAATGACAAATATGTATCTTAGTTTCAAAACCGTTAAAAGGTGCGCTCACTTACATCACTTTCCAGTAAAATAATAGATATCTGGTTATGTATTAAACTGTTGGTTAGTTAGTCACTTAAACTGTATCAGATGATCATCTGTATATCTAGATAGTTATTCAGTTAAATAATGAGTTCTTCAGAAACACCTTTGTGTCTTCAATTATTTTCTGACATATTAAGTTTGAAATCGCAATTGTAAACAAAATGCTCTTGCATACAAATTAAAAAGCAGAGATATATGTGTTTATCTACAAAACGTAAGTATCAGTCATTGGTTTGTTTGTTGGTTGGTTTGGTTGGTTTTTAGTTACTACATAAAGCAAAATGGTTTTTAAATATCCCTTGGATTTTCTGTAATTACATTGCTCATGGTGGTTTTAATAACTAGACAAAAAGACAGCATACTGTCAGTCAATGAAAAATTACATCTTTAAATACTGTATATCACTGACACTTGGCCCGAAAGTCCGTGACACTTTACTGTTTACAATGAGATTTGATAGCAAACTAATGTCTATCATTGACTTGTGACGTCTATACAATTAGGATATCTGTTTGGAATTCATAACTTCAAGATTATATTTCATAAATTTCAATTACGCGTCATTAAATATAATTGCCTGCCATTAGTGGTCACCAATCTATATGTAGACCTTATTTATGCCCGGTATTCATTGTATTTGATATCGTAATTAAGCTGTATTTAATTTAGTCAACGTTATAGATAGCGGAGAACTTTGTTGCCGACAATCGGGCTAGCTGACTGCATTAACATAGCGCCTTTCAAAAACTTATCTCATCCTATCTAACTACAATCCAATGATGGCCCTATCTGTCAAAGTAAATTTATTTTGATGGTGTCAAATGGTCTTAAATTGATCACATTGAGTGGCCTACTCGAGTGAGCTATGACAAATTATACCAGGCACGCAACCATATGAAACAAACATGGTCGCTTATATTACAATTTTTACTTTAAAAATAGTATGATTTATTGATGCGTTTGAAGTGACCGCAGAGTTAAATTTTAGTCAAACTGGTATCGTAAAATCAACGTTTTCAAGGATATTCTCAGGTGCAAAAATAATTGTGTATCATTTATTATTCATAAAGATTATCTGATCGTTTCGATTTGAACTATTTGTTGTCTTTAGCCCCGAGTAACGTGCGGATTTAAAACAGTATTGCAATTTGAAGTTCTGGGGTGTGTTCCTTCATTTTGAACTTAAGATAATCTTATCTCCGGAAATAAATGTCAACAACTTCTCACCATCAATTAGCAATGGGACACCAAGTTATAACGTCTACTCTAACAATACTATCATTGACATTTTGTGCTGATCTCGATTTTATATATAAACTAAATCATAATGTTTAATTCTGAATCTCAATAATAAATTCACGCAATCTATGAGTAAGTGCAAAATAATTCTCCTTCTATTTGTATATTTTGTTTGTTATCTTGGCATTCTCGATGGTAATTGCTTTTACTGGTTGTACAACATTTATGTCTACAATTTTACTATTGCTAAGTTTCTGATTTTCATTCTAGTCTTTGATTTTATTTACAATAGTATATATACAAATACATTATATCTTCGCCTGGTGAATACTTCAGACAGGGCATGGTCGACACGAGCTTATCTGTGTCACATGCTGAACTATTCTCGTTAAGGTGACAGCCCCATATTGGCCCTGCCACCATGCCATACCTGTATTGTCTAGTCGAGCAGATAATGTAGGAGGATATAGTTTATCAATAACACCAGATGATGTGTCGTGTTTACTCACTTTGACAGCAAATTCGTGTCCTTGTTTTATAATTGAATGGGATTTCGCCATATTAACCTTGTCAAACGTTGTTTTTAAATTTCAAACATACCCGGGGGTAAGGAGCTATAACAAAAATGTAAGACATTCGGATGGAATCTTGTCAAACGATCACAATTTTTTATGACGTTTTTGAGGTCATTTTTATTCCCATTAAGAATTCGTCTGATCCGAAACACCCGCATTCAACCAATTGATACGAAGCGGTAAGCCTAATCACACAAAATGTATATCCATGGAAGCCTTCGATGAAAATTGGAAACATTTTCTATGACATTTTAATCCAAATTTTATCCTTTCAGTATTTTAAAATACTGATAAGATTTATCGTTGAGTTATTTTTTGTGGGGACCAAATCAATTGCATTGGTGAAATTACATAAAAATAGCATTATCTCTTTGTTTAAACTGCTTTCTATGGTATTCATATGTATGTTTGCAGTTTTCTGGTCCTGTTTCAAGGCCTAACCCGGTTACAGGGTTGAGTATGTGAACACTGAAAAGAAATTATATAAAGTGAATGTTATAGATTAAAGTATTTTAATAGCTAAAAACTTTCATCTGTAATGATGTATTTGTTGTAATGCTTCGATTATTATTCAGGTGGGTTTATGAAATATTTTTATCCGTGCATTTAGAAACACGAAGATTAAAAGTTATTTTATCGTTTAAACGAAATATTTACGACATTTTATTATGCAATGATTGTTATAATTTGGCTATCAAATAATTGAGTGGAGCGATTAGTTGTCTATGTATTTTAGATTTATTTCAATTTTTTAAGATTCCCATATTGTATCTTGTATCTTATTGGACTGGAAACCATGACATGCCAAATCTTAAAGCCCATTTTAAGCCCCGTTGCACCTTTTATAGTTTTACCCTTGGTTGAGTTACAAATGTGCTAACATGTTTTAATATTCACGTTAAGTTTCTGTAAGTTGTAAAAAATCCTTCTTTTGAAATTGATACCTGGAAAAGACTTAATTGGCATAAGCAATTAAAGGGTGCATATTTCATTTACCTAATTAATGAACGACATGCCTGGTTGCGCTGGAATGTTTATCGGTAAACAGTTGACACCGGTAAGCAGACGACACCACAAGCACGTGCATACATGCGAATCGTCATATCAATATTTTCACTTCAAGTGTTTATAAATGCTTGTCATGATAAACAATTAACTCCAAAATTACCTACATTTATCATGTCTTATGAAACATCGAAAGTAAAATTCTTTGTAAATTAAATTCTATAATTAGTGACACGCATTTACTGGTACGCTGAAAAACTGTTTGAACTGTTTACATTTTTCAAAATTTGCTTTATGTCGAATAAAATGTCATTAGATGAGCTTCCTTTGTGAGCAGAAATATAGATTATTAATAGTGTACACTATGGCCGGGTTTTAAAGGGTTTCTTGGTTCAGCAGACGGCATTTCACTCGCTCATCCTACTTGTCAATCACGATTTATGACTACTTCAGAAAAAGGCATTTAATTTCACACACCTGTACTTACAGTAATGTTTAGATCAGATCAGATCATTGTAAAGGTTTTCTCCAGTAGATAGAGTTTCTTCACTTACGTTTTTCTGTTGTTCGATAATATCTTTTGTCAACTTAACGGTGTCCGATTCTCGACTGTTCTTTGCATTTTTTGTAATGTTAGACATTTGACTTCTTTGAGCATAATACTTATACGATAGGTCATTCGATGCCGAAAGTTTGCGCAGGCGCAAAAGCATATCAAATATTATTGTACATTTACTCGACTAAGGATCGAAACCGGTCTCATTTCTCCGTCGATACGTGATATTGATACTTAAGGATAATCGCTTTTGTTTGTAAATCACTCTTAGTGCATTTTAATTACTAGAGTATTATCTTCAAAATTGTTTTCTTCATTGATAAAATCGCAAATGGCAGGAGTGATTTATGACTTACGAAATAGTTTACGTGATTGGACAAGATTAATGAAAAAAAGTGATTCATTAAACCAGTCTATCAGATTATGACCAATGAACTGAGATAGTGTGAAGCACTTCATTTCAGATTGTACTGTGCATTCAAATTGATCCTGTATTATTTATTATCTGATCATGTGTCGATGGCAGTGAATGCCTTGCATACGTAAATCCCCATCGTTCAAGAAAAATAAAAAATAAATAAATAAACCAATTAAATTTGAATAAATAAAATTTTGTTTTGTTCATTATTCACCATACTCTTCATTTATTACATTTTGCTTATTGTTTTCAGGCTGTTAAAGACAATATGGGCAAAGAATGCCGATGTCACGGTACTTCCGGTTCATGCACACTAAAGACATGCTGGCGGAAGCTTCCTCCATTTAGAAAAATAGGAGATTATTTATTTAAACAATTCAATAGTGCAAAACTGGTTGTTCCTTGGAGAGGCGGTAGACTTCGTCGACCGAAAAGATTGCTTCTGCAAAAATCCAAAAAACCTAACAGAAAACCTCGAAGACGGGACTTAGTTTACCTCGAAAAGTCACCAAACTTTTGTGAATACAATGAAAACACTGGTTCCTTAGGAACGGTTGGTAGGAACTGCAATAAAAGTTCAGATGGAAATGATGGGTGTGACTTAATGTGTTGTGTGAGGGGCTATAATACGCATCAATATACCAAAACGTGGCAGTGTAATTGTACTTTTCATTGGTGTTGCAATGTTAATTGTAAAAATTGTACAGAAAAACGTTTAGAATACACATGTAAGTAATAAATAACAAACAATATTTACATGGTCTCGAACAAAGGTCCCAAGACGTGAGTTGTGTTAGATGTTCGACACGGGGCGTTCGTTTACTGACATAAGATGTAAGACATAAAGTGTATACATATAGCTCCATAGCTTTGTCGTGGTGTTGTTTGTCTGTGGTGTAATGACTGAGGACAATGTAGACAAAGTCTAGCCTTCAGCCTAGATAGATTTTTCGCGATAATTGCGCGTAAAAAAAAGTTGCTTTTATATATTAAGATAAAGCAACAGACGGTGTTTTATTTAACCAGTGTCTTTCAATCGAGTTTAGAGAGAGTGGGAGAGGAGAGCAATGGAGTGAATTTCCATGGCAACAGAATGTTTAAGGGTCTCCAACAGAAGTTGGACCGTGTTTTGATATGACGTCATAATTTTGTTTCTATAACAACGATATGTTTAAGAAAAGATGGTCTAGAGTCTAGAAAAGTAAAGTCCCGAAACATTTCTTTGTTATATACAATCTGTTATTGATATATATGTTTTTGCAATTTAGTTTCATAGACAACGACTTTCGAACAACAACAACATTCTTTTATAATGCATATAAAGAAAGACATTTATTTTAAGAATGCATGGACATGTCTGTCAAATAGAGTACAAGCGCAAATGTTTGTTATACACAACAATATTCATTTCTGCAACTAGTAAATTATTTATTATAGATATCTTTAATAATTATCCTAAGCCAAAAAGTAAGGGAGAAAAAAATCACGTTCAATCCTGCATACCAAGTTAGTTTTGGAACTCTTTCCAAAACCAGCAACAAGTACCCTGAATACAGCTTCTTATTAAGAACGATAGCTGTGTCCGGCAAATATGCTTGACCGGACCTCTAGATACGAAAACAATTTCGAATATAGCTACCCAGATTGTTATATTGTATGTTACATAACTATGTTACCTTGACAGCAATGGCATTGCCTCATAAAGTGTTACAATTTTTTTCTAATGTCAAGCAGATTTTATACAGTATAAACGTAATATTGTTTCTAACGTTGTTAGAATACACAAAACCATAACAAAACTATATTTAACTATGTCCTACAGTTTGAGTTGTCTCACAATCTGTCCATTTGTAAATGCCTTAATGAACTTTTATATACGAAGCTATTTCGATAGTGAAACGATAATTACGTAATTTATAAAATATATATATTTCACTGAATGATATGTGCAAATCCTTTTGTTTATAGATAAATTAAGATAACACATTTTTGGACATGGACAATGTCTATGTAGGGGTGAAGATGGCCCCATGCCTGGTGAAATTTTCTACTGAAAAAAAGATTCATTTACATAGATATTGTCAAAACTTTAAGCACACGTTGTAAATTTCATACTTGCTGAATATAAAGAAGTGTCACAAACTAACTTAATTAAATTATCTTGTAATTTATACATAATTATGCGTAATTGCATGTTCACGTCATATGACCCGTTTCAGAATACAACTTTTCTGATCTTACTTTAGAACAATGACACTCTTATCAATTCTGTGTTCAAGCATATTTTTGTCAAAATCATTATGGATATGTTTCGACATCTAGGTTAACAGTCTTCCTAGTTGATGGGTTCTGACATGGCATGGTTCGTTTAGCTGTGCTGAAATTTTGACTTACTTATGAAAATCACCTTTTCTTTCCATCTGTTATAATGTAATGCTATTTTACGTTTATTTCTTTCAATTTTAGCTCTGTTATTGAAACTTTGGTTTTAAAAATTCACTTTTATGTATTTCACATATACTTATAGCATATCGTCATATATGTTGCCTTCAGAATATCTGGACTTTGTCATATATAAAAACAACAACATTTAAACACAGTATCTTTCCTAAGTAGATTTTTAAACGCCAATTTTGTATAGAAATATATTCTAAGAATACCGGTAGATATGTTTTTCTAGGTCACACCAATTCTGTTAAGTTCATATAGTGATTGTTACGTATTGCATCAAAATTGAGTGGACACAAATTGAAAAGCAGAGTCATCTAGCTTTGTTTTAAACAATGTTTATTTCGAATGATTATTATGGATATATGTTCATATCCACAATGCGTCAACCATGTTGGCACGTTGTGTTGGCGCGTTAAGGCATGTTGTGTTGACATGTTATGTTTGCTTTATACGTGTTATATTTGAAATATATATATGTAATGTAATAATATCACTATTTCATATTGATACATCTGAACTGTCTCTGATCTCAAATGAAGAATGGTAAGGACATTGTCTCTCTGTATATGACGTCATTTGTGACTTCACTGAATTAAATGCTCTACAGAATCTTTTAACAGTTTTTAATTGTTTGTTTTAACCATAAGTAATTCCAAAAAGGGTAATTTACTAAATTATAGATTATACACCGGTCTTTGATTTATCTTGGATTGGACAATGGAATCCTTATAATAAAATATTGAAAGAACAAGGTTGTATATCAAAATTTACTTTAGTGAAATTGATACATAATTATAGTCACAATTATGATTCTTGTACAAGAGTAAGTCAAAGATTTTTGTGTCTAATGAACGCAATATACATGTTACAATATTCAGAAGATAAATTGATATAGATATTTTTTGCAGGAGGAAATGTACTTATTCATTTAATATTTATGATCATGGGTTTTCTATGGCCTTAATTTTAGAGAGCATAATATTATTTCATATCTATTTATATAGATATATTGTAGGTTTAATTATTGTGAGAAGAAAAGAGCCGCGTCACGACAACACCAACATAATGGGTTTGCGATCAGCATGGATTCAGACCAGCATGCGCATCCGCGCAGTCTGCTCAGGATCCATGCTGTTCGATATCAGTTTCTCTACTTGTTATAGGGTTTGTAAGCGAACGGCATGGATCCTGAGCAGACTGCACGGATGCGCAGGCTGGTCTGGCTCTATGCTGGTCGCAAATGCATTATGTTGGTTTTGTCGTGACGCGGCTCAAATGTCCTTATCAGTCGGTGTAAGTGTTACATTTTAATGTTATATTTTACCTTGCCAAGGGACATAAATATCCCTGTCCATGTGATATATACAACTATTGTAAATATTGTAAAAAAATAAATTAAATATTGCCTTGTAAAGTAGTCTTTGTTTTAACTTACATCTTTTGGAGACAGGCGTTTGGCAAACACCGATTAGAAACATACACCGTCTGCGATGCACATGCGCACTGAGCAAATATCTCTTTGTTTCTACGTCAGCATGACACATTGTTGTAACAGCCAGGCTGTGTCCGCTGATATCGTCTGCGTGTCATTCATGTAACTTCAAGTAACCATTTTCTCCAGACAAAATCAACATTTGTTTTCAAATTGAATGTTAATCTATACACTTGTTATATCTGTGGGAAACATATTTACGAACAGACGAGAAGTTGACTATGTCTTAACTTTGGGGTCCAATAAAATTTACAAGACTTGTATCGTTTCAATTTTTCCTTTTAGATGTGAACCATAAATTTCATTTTAACATTGATGTAAAGATTAACTGACAGAGCTTTCTTTGACTCCGTGGGTAAGTTAGTCGATTGTGTATTAGAAGAAAATTCAGATAAAAGGTTTTTATTTCTTTGTTCTTTTCTAGACGTTTTGATCTTTACTAATGAAATTCCCTCCCAATCGTTGTAAATTCTGACAACAGTTTATAAAACGAGGCGTTTTTAAATAACCCTCTTTCAATTCTTTTTAGCTGGCAATAAATTTCATAGGGCGGAAATACATCTAAAGAATTGGAATTTCTAAATAAGCAATAAAATTAAGATGGACAACTTAACAACATTTTATTTGTAAATAGAAAATGGTTTTTTACAAGAATATTGCAGAATTGATGTTTTCCAGAATTAAAAACAAATATAACAGCTTTAATTTATTGTATGGTTTTCGAGCCGGCTACAAACTGGCCGCAAGTTATCTACTGCTCAAGCCCACGACTACATTTATCTGAAGCGTTTGAAACAGGCAAACGACAAATATTCAAAAGCTATTTTTATTATGTTTAAGAAAAAACCGTCCGTTTTGAAACTTTAATTGATGGTGCTCCTAACACTGTTAACACATGCGTTCAGATCGTTTTGTGATTGCTTTTTTAAAAATGAAAAACATCCTTTCGTCCATTTTTACGACTGAACTGATCTACGACACGCTTAGACATCGAACCTGTGTCATCCAACTTTCATATGTTACAAGAGGAGTGATGGCGTAGTGGTTATGGTATCCACCACTAAATCCAGGGATCGTGGGTTCGAGCCCTATCAGGGTAACGAACATATTTTCTCTGATGACACGAGGCGTTATGGTTAATACCGGTAACAGGAAACGAACACGAAAATGATAAATATACCAAAAAAAGTTTCACGTTAGAGAGCATCTAAGTTTAGGTTAATGTTTATTAGTACATATTTACAAAATTAATCTGGTCAGGCGCGGTGTGTTTTAAATTGTCTTTATAAATAGTCGATTAACTAGACTGATTAACAGTTTGCCGATTTACCAAAATAAATGTGTTACGAAGAAATTGAAATACTGCAATCCTACTGAACAAAAATAATAATTTCAAACACTAAATATGTTAAAATTTAACTTAATTTTACACTTTGTGACATTTTGTTATTAAAGCGATTGTCCTTCAATATACAAATTATCAACTGAATAAAAAACGTAGCTTTATCCCTCATTATTATAGAAGTATAATCTCGCAAATTACCATAATTCTTTTGTATATTAATATTTTTTTTGCGTTCAATCCAAAAACAGAAAAAGAAATCTGAAAACAATTTTAAACTTTAAACAGGTGTAATAAAAGTAATAATGCTTCTTAACGTGTCATTAATATAATCTAATTGCATTCCATTCAACATTTTAGTGTTATATACGTCACTCTTAGCTTTAATTTTCTTTTAAACGATCCGGGCAATACCTTGATATGCTGATATTATCTGGACTTTATCATATAATTTAGGTGGGAAGATTCACTCATCAACAACGAGTTTGTGGCTCACGTTTGGGAGAATTTGATACTTAACATGATGTCACAAATGATGGGGGAGAGAATGACAAATATAGTGTTTCTGTGAAATATTTAAATACCGGTATTACTTAATCATATTACTAAAGTACTAGTAGTAATGAATGTGTTCATAATTTATGGTCTATGGACACCAGTAATTTATTTTAAATTATTAGTTATTTTTCATTTTAAACAAATAAGTTATAGATAGAGCATCGAAACACAAGGCTATCTGATTTGTACGAGTGGGGCTTAGCCCCGGGTATAAATCAGCTTGCCGAGTATTTTGATAGTCTTTCTCTTTTGTATCATAGGCACAAATAAAAACATGTTGTCAAAACATGAAACACTAGTAAAAAGTAACCAATTAACGATAATCTGATATTTCTATAGTTATCCCTTTCTCTGACGCCACATTTTTTAAACGCAGAAAAAATGGGCATGCTCTGGAGTGCGGGTAACTAATACCTGCATTCCAGTTAATTCACGGTGCATGTATATGTATACGATTTGAGTCTGACACATATTCAACAGAAAGGTCCCCCAAACTATGATACAATTTATTTTTGTAGTGCCAATAATCTTTGTTTAATTGATCTTTAGATTCTATTTCAAAACATAAAGTTAAAATTAATAGAAAATGGGTAAATCAAAGTTCTTAGTTTTAAATTTATACTTAATTCTTGTTGTACCATATTTTATTTTAACGTTACTTTTAACTTCTAGTTTTAATTACATCTAGTTTTGACAGTTCTGACAGTTTATTCCTGTTTAGTGCACACCAGATTTCTTACTATTTTAGAAGTTCATATATAATAGATATATTAGCTCTTAAATATTATAGAATATTCAAGTTTCTTCTAAAAATACAATATTTATTTTCATCAAGTGGTATGGAATTAAATACAAATGCAGTAGCCATGAGTGAAATATGATCAATTTTCACACCTCGAGGTGTAAATAAATCCTGTATTAATAGAAAAAAACCTTGAATTTTCTATTTATTATATACCTGTTCTCTTTTTTAACCTATGAATAGGAAGGATCTCCTTTTAATTTTGTGTATTGGTTGAATTTAGAAGAAAGTAGTTCGGCAAGACACCAGTGAAAATACGGAAAATATGTTTCATTGCAGTGAAAATACGGAAAATAAAAATTCGCATTTTATTTCATCAATATTTCTCAATATTTCATTTATAAGTATATAATATGTTGTATTATTCTAAGAAAAAATAGATCTAGTAAGTTTTAATAAAGTCTTCAGATTTTTAAAGAAGGAATGGAGCGACATAGAAAAGGATTGAAAACAAGTTTTTAATAAAATTTCTAAATTTTATAAAGATTCACTATAGAATATCAGTTAAAAATCTCCTACTTAAAGACTCATATGAGCCGCGTCACGACAAAACCAACATAATGGGTTTGCGACCAGCATGGATCCAGACCAGCCTGCGCATCCGCGCAGTCTGATCAGGATCCATGATGTTCGCTATCAGTTTTTCTACTTGTTTTACAGTTTGTAAGCGAACAACATGGATCCTGATCAGACTGCGCGGATGCGCAGGCTGGTCTGGATCCATGCTGGTCGCAAACCCATTATGTTGATTTTGTCATGATGCGGCTCTTTTAATTTCTGGTGTCCTGTTATAGTTTCCTAACAGTTACACATTGGCCAATTACGTCACCCCTTGCTCCTGTTACGTTTTGGCAATTAGTACAGTTAAAATAATTTAGTATTTTGTATGGAAGTGAAAATATTAATTTGTTTAGATTTTGCTAGATCTACTTTTATGACAGATAATTTCACATTCAATCTATTATTATAAAACCGTTATCAAAACGTTATAAAATTCATTTTACCATTTCTTACGTACAAAAATGTTCGTTTTTGAAGCATTATGTGCCTTTAAATGTTTAACTTTTAAAGAATATTTAGAGCCATTAAAAGCCCTGAGCATTGCTGGTTTCTGAACAATGGGTTTTATTTAGATAATGGCGTCATATATTGCGTCATTGTATCGACCACCCGACATTGTTGAGCATATCGCGAACTCACTCACTACAGGGCATCCAAATATTAGAAACCATTGCGTGGGAGCTTTTGGTACCAATGTCACACATTTAATTCAATAGTTAATTTTATAACTTTATATACTTAACACAAATACGTAAAAATAGATATCTAATGCAAAGTAAACAAACGGCAATAGAAAAACCTGCATACGAAGTGAATGTGATATCCGAAATAGCACTGATCCTTTGTAAACGATGACTTATCATATATCCTTAAAAAGAAACTTTCCTTTAACAAAAATAATGCATCATTTTGTGTTACATATCACCTTTTATTCATTTCACTTCAAAACGAGATTGAGAACTTTTATTACAAAAATATCAATGACTTCTTTAAAGGAACGGGACAATTGCTCAGCCATGTAAGAAAAATAAAACTTTCAATTGCACTTAAGAAATGATTAAGGCCCAATTGTTGAAAATAATTAATTTCTTTAAAGAATTCTTCGTGGGAAGCCATATCCAATCAAAATGATGATGTTTACATTTAGAGTGATATTGTTGATTAAATTAAGTAATACTATTGTACGAAGCAGACGACTGGAATTCGTCTGATTCTTTGTCAAGTGTAAAGGGGGCTAAATGTGAAAAGAAAACAGAAACAGACCGAGTGCGTTCATTTCAAACACATTAAATAGTAAAATGCATCCGATAATACTTTGTTTGCGTTTCCTTTAAAATGTTCTAAATTTTTACATTTTTTGAAATTGAATTTGATTCTTTTATTTTTCTTTTGTTAAGTATGTTTTAATTTCATTTGGTCTGTTAACAATCGAAAGTAAGACACTGTTATAGCAACGTAAGATGAAGGTGATTCTATAACAAAGGTGTTAAAATTAACATTTATTTACAGTATGATATTCCAGATAAATCTAATTATTTTATACCAGTACTGACAAGGCACAAAATGACATATTGTAAGTTGGTAGCTGTTACACTTCTGCTAGACAACTAGTATCAATAAAAACTCAATAGAGTATTGCAAATATAATTTAAAAATAAAAGAACAAACACCACATATATATCAACCAATAT